AAACAGAAGATATAGATCTTGTACAAATTCTGGGTAAATCATTCGACTCTGTCGGTATTTCATTTCAGACATTTGTCAAATTGTTGCATAACACCTGCAGGCAACACCAAAATATTCTAATAAACTAAAGACAACACGCACGATGCCATGATTCTACACAACCACCCGCCATATTGGGCAAACATGTATTACTCTATTTAATATTAAATAATTATGTTTCAGTTCGAAATTACAGATATAAAGTGATAAACATTAGTGTAATTGTGTCTAAATATAGGATTTGTGGAAGATTTAACGCAGATAAGTTCAGTTTTCCATCTTAAAAATCTAGACATACTTTTGATCATTATCAAAATATGAATCAAATACGAAGCCCGTAGAAATTGCGTAACTACTTTGCACGATAATCACAATAAAATGTGCTGTGCAAGTAATTCAATAGCCCTATATCACAGTGTAGAAGTTTATTATATACCTGTGTATGAAATTCACAATGGCCGATATGTAAGTAAACAAGATGACTGTAATGTGTTAGTTATATATTCTTCACTTCGTCTATACAATACATAAGAAATAGTTTGGTTGCAATAAAGTAGAATCACGTAACAGAATAGTTGTTGTATAGTTGACAAAAACTCAATCTTGTACCGACGCAAATGTTCTATAGCGGCTGCAAGAGGTTTACACTTTTTTTGTATAACTGTTACCTGCAGCCCTTATACAACCTCTTAAATGACTGAAGTGTGCTATTTTAGGTGTGCCCATTTCGCTTGTAAAGCTGTTCTAAGAGCTGTATAATCATCCTTCCAACTGTAATAGGAGTGATAATTGTTAGTTGGGAATAGTCTAATCATATTTGATTTGCGAAATAATTGTAAAGTGGGTACACCAATTTTTGTGGGAAAACTTTTTATTCGACATCAAAGAATGAGAAAACGTGTTTTTTGGGATGCAATCAAAAGTGTTGGCAGGAACGTATAAAACTCTTCATATAAGATTTTTAGACATTTGTGAGACCTACAAAATGAGACTACACGTAAAAAGATCCGACAAATAGCAAACAAGTTATGGGCAAAAAACGAGGCAAACTACAGGTTTTGGAACTTGTTGGTAATGCGACGATGGTTTCTCGTAGATATCTGAAATTCTTCAAATTCGTAGGATTCATATTTCTAAATAACCACAACAAAATTGGAGTAGATTGGTCAGGTACTTTTTGAGAATTTCTAATTGTTTATCCCAAAACACCTGTTTTCCGGCCATCACTACTAGTTTATTGAGCAATATACAGGGTTAGTTCAAAGGGCATTTTGTAGCAAAATGCACTAGGTTACCTTGCCGATATTAGTCGCAAACCATTCCGGAAGATAAATGTTATTTTTATGCAAAAAGTAATGGGTTACGTTTTTTCTTCTAAACAAATTCAAACATTTGGTATTTGTGGGTAATACACAACAAAAGATGATAGACACATCCACTTTGTTTTAAAATGTGTATAGTAACGTATGTTTTTTGAATATCGTAGCGCATTTGTTCAATTACCCATAAAGACGAAATGTTTGAATTTGTTTAGAAGAAAAAACGTAACCTTTGTTTTTCGCATAAACAGTTTATCTTTCGGAATGGTTTTTGACTCATATCGGCAAGGTAAACACGTGTATTTTGCTCAATAAACTAGTAGTGATGGATGGAAAACAGGTGTTTTGGGATAAACAATCAGAAATTCTTAAAAACCACTTGATCAATATACTCTAATTTTGTTGTTATTGTTTAGAAGTATGAATCCGACGGATTTGAAGAATTTCAAGTAGTTGCGAGAAATTAGTCGGATCTTTTTACGTATGGTCTCATTTTGTAGGTCTCATAAATACCTAAATATCCTATTTGAAAGGCTTTTCGTTCCTATCAACACTTTCGATTGAATCCCAAAAAACTCGTATTCTCATTCTTTGTTGTCGAATAAAAAGTTTTCCCACAAAAATTGGTGTACCCATTTTATGCGTCCATGTTTTAAATATGAACAACTTGCACCAATAAAACCAGACTTATTTCGGGGAAATTTGCTAATATGATTAGACTACAAGGAGATTTCTATCGCGCACAAGCACAGGGCCAGCAAATTCAAGAAATGACCGTACAGGTTCCGTTGCTATGTAGTATTATATATGCGGTGATGTGAGTGAGTAGCATCGGGACACCGGGAGCGGCAAACCTACGAACGAACGGTTAAAAAAGGCACGCGTTTAGGGCAGCAGCTTGGTGTCGGTAACGGGCGGCAAGCGTTGAACGTCGAGCGGCAACGTCGGGCGTTAGCGGCAGCGTCGACGGCTACGGACGACCTTGACCCGTCCCGACTACACGATATACATGATGCCATACCTCGCCCTTCTATCTGCTACTGTGTGTCCACAAACATACTGTTATACCAACACCTTACGTCACAAAATTAAAATACTCAGTTCACTGTTTAAACAAATTTGAAATGAGGTTATCGGATGAATTAGATATGCAGTACAGACCGCTGGTATTACACAGCTGGAGTGTCAGAGCGATTTGAATGAGCAGACAGCAGTGGTCGCCAACCTTTTTAGTGTATTGAGCTACTTTGATAATTTGGGAATAAACAGTGAGCTACCCCTAGTCGTAAGCAATGTAAGCCAACTTAAATGGAATAATACACAGTTGTATGCGACATGCATGTGTTCATTTTACTAATAATAATACACACTCAGAAACTTAAATAAACTAATAACTAATACATACTGCATAACTATGTACATCCATTCCTACCAATCGTAACAATCGTAACAAACATTTTTGTCAACTACAATGGCATGTCACATACGATTTAATAAAGGTAACTAAAAAAAATAAAAAAATCAACGCACTATTTTAAACAAAAACATGTCCAGATAAAAAATGCGTGTTCAATCAGAAGCGTGACACTCAGACTCACTGACATTTTTTTTAATTTAATTATCCAAATGTTCATCTGTGAGTCGATTACGGTATTTGTTTTTAATAAACTTCATATTTGAAAAAAAAGATTCACACTAATAGGTTGAACTAAATAACGCTTTCATTTTCAAGGCAACACGACATAAAACGGAATATTTATCTTTACTTACTGAAGGCCAGCTACATTTTGTATTTGAGACTAATGATTTTAAAGCTAAATCATTTTGAATCGTAATCACTTCCATTTCTGTCACAGCGATGTCTTCGCTAAAATTCTGCGTAACAGAAGTCACAAACTGTGATATCAATTTCCCTGAAGGTGAAACTATAGCAATTTCGTTGAAATCATTGAAACGATTTTTGAAGTTATCATTCAAGTTAGAGATTATTTTTACATGATATTTACTGTCAACTCCTGGTATCGCCATAGATTAAGTTTTGTTCCCAAAGCTCAAGCTTTTTGATAAACGCTTTTATATCAGAAATCGTTTCTGAAATATCCACAAGAATACCAAAATATCTAAGCCAGATTGAATTTTCCAGTTCCGGAATCGGTTCAACACGTTGTTTGAAAAATTGAATGGCAGATATGATATCATTAAAACGTATTGACTGTCAATTTCAAGGTTTTGATTAATTTTCTTTGTAACGCTTAAGATCTAATCTTGTTCACAATTTTTACTACCAGTTTCATAACGCAGTTTAGAAAATGTCCACATAATGCTAGCTGATGGATAATGCAGTGGTAACACAGAAATTGCGGAAAACTTTCATCTTTACGACATAACCCCACGAGATCCGTATCACGACCCGCCATAGCTGGAGCGCCATCGGTTGTCAAGCCTACCATTTTCGATATCAGAATGTTCTCAGAAGAAATAATATTTTTAAAAGAAGAAAACTAGTCCTGCCCTGTGGTCTGTCTTTTTAGTGGAATAAACTTCTTTAATCGTCAGATCACTAAAAACCATCCTGACGAACACCGCCATCTGACAGGTGTCAATGGCATCTGAGAATTCATCCAGCTGCAGTGAAAAATAAGCACAGTTATCGAAGTCATAACTGTAAGACTATATCACTGCTCATTTCTTCTACTCGCCTCATCATTGTATTAGCAGAAAGTTGGCTAACAATGAATCTTCAGCTTCTAAACACGCCTGTTTTATCATTTTCCCACCAGCATAAGGTTGCTTCTTTTGTGTAATTATTAGGACACCCGGTATGATGCTTCAGTTGCAGCCTTACTTTTGTCAATTGTTTTTAAAAACATTGGCTGTTGTCCAATTAACTGATTTTTTAAATGTTTCAGTTTTTCCGTTCTGGTTGCAAAACGTAATGGGAATGATTTTTCAAAATTCGAATGTACAGTTTAATAGTGCCTCTCGATATTCTCTTTTTTAGCAACGGAAGCAGATGTATTACATAACAAACATATATTTTTACCTTTAACCTCTGTAAAGAAATATTGTTCTTCCCATTCCGAATGGAAATGGTATGTCTTCATCTTACTACTGCTCATAATGTTTTTAATTGCAGGCTAACTTTAACCCAACCGCTGGACATGAACTGAGCGCACTGTCGCCGCGCCTTGCGTATTTATTCCGTTCAAAGTAATCGAGATCGTTCTCGAACAGATGGCTCACCGCAGTTGTCGCTGCTTGTGTTTATTATGAGAATTTTTCAAAATTTACGGAAGCTTCTATAAGTTTTACACCTTTTCAAAATATGTTGTGAGCCACGCGTAAAGCATGGGCGTATTCCGGGCGAGGGGCAAGGGGGCAGCTGCCCCCCTGTCTCCAGCTTGGGAAAAATTGAATGGAGAGAATATTTTATATAGAAAATAAAAACTATCCCTGTACGGGGTTCTCTACAAGCTGAATCATTATATAGCGCGCTTTTCAAAGTCGAACCTCTTCGCTAGGATCTCGGAAACGGTAAATCGAATGTCACACGATCAGGATTTACTATGGTCCGTACGATTATTTATTTATTATTCTTTCATGTCAGTGGACGTAACATTACGCGTAAAGAATTATTATCGTTCAGGCTGCATCTATATATAAATAATAATAATAATATAAGCTTATTCACGTATAAAGTATTACAGTTTATTAAAAATAAATATGCATATATACGCAAATAATCCCACAGAAGAATTTAATTCTTGTGAGTGGGAAACATTTTTCATAACAATTTTTGCTTAAAACAGTTAAATACAGTTAATAAATGAATTTAAACACAACATAACCGTAAAGGTAAGCGTAATAATATTATATTAATCCCTATTTAGCGTGGTCACGCCATAACTTGAGAACGACTTTACCGATTTCATTCATCTTTTTTTTTCAAGTTTTCTAATGCTGTATAGGAGGTTCTTACGGAACGAAAAATCAAGAAAAAATTGGGAAACCATTGAAAACCTAATGACGATTCAAGCTACGCGCGTTTGCTTTAGCATGGAGCACGCACAGCAGAAGAAAGATCCCAAGTACCAAAAGAGACAGGCACTCTTCTCCGCCATCTTTATTCCAACAGCTATTGACAGTTAGATATGTGACAGAAGATTGCTTATGAAAACACGGTTCTTTCAATTTTGGACTTACGTTTCTTTAAAATTCGTACTTTGTAATGGCCCCTTCGAAAGAAACTGCAGTGTTGCCTAATTGCAGTATTTCCTCTTTGCATTTCTCTGTTTAATCTTGTTTGATGTATAGGTAACCACACCGATATAATATTAACTAGACCGACGACGTACTTTGATACAAAGGAAAAGATCCTACGGACTGCTTTGACAGATAACGATGAGTATAGAGGAAGCTTAAACTTAAGCTTGAGCAGAATATGTAACACAAATTCTGTATCACTACGCAATTTCCAGTTTGAAAGTTCATTTTCGCAGTTTATTTAAAGCCCCACACCAAGAAACTCACCGGTTATTTGATCCTGCTCCAACTGTGCTTGCTGCCCCCTGGCGGTCCGTTGCGGCGAACCCCTTTGCTGCGGTTGCGGCGGCTGCTTCAGCACCGCCAGTGGCACAAGACCCTCGAGCGGTTGCGGTTGCACTGTATCGCCACCAGATGTCGTCACGGTAGCCTGCTCGCGCGCGGGCATGCGCACCAGGCAGTAGTCCGGCCGGCTGAGACACACTTCGACTACTTCCACCTGCTGGCCTTTCGTGACAGAAAGTTCCGAGACGCCGCTGGCCGTATAGTCGCTTACTACCCATGTCATCTCCGATTGGACACCCGTCTGAAAAAAATGGGTGGTTTAGAATAATTTATTTTTAGTCAATAGGCTTGGCAGAAAACATTTGGTATTTCTACCCTAGATAACACAAAATACCATTGCTCTTTAAGTAACAGACGTATATGCCCCGTTTTTAAATCCCGGATCATTTCTCCTTTTTAATAAGGTCACTAATATTTTTTGGTGCAGCAATGTTCGTAACGCGTCAAGGAAAGGTATGTGAGCCTACTGTTCGTAACTATTTTGTTTTGGGGAAGTAAAGTAAATATGAAAACTTTAAGAGGAAGAATGAAATATGAATCGAGATTGGCCCAACTGGTTCGCTCAACAAGTACACACTGATGTTTAACAGTTGCTTTCTTCATGATATGTGGCACCTTTGTCATCAATGGCACCTATGTGAAAGGTGCACAAATCAGGGGCGTCTGGAGTACTTCAATACTCATTTTTGAAATTACAATACTTCCTCGCCAGTGTAAAGTAAAAACGTGGTAGAAGAGGAGCAAGTTTCGGAGCACGCCTCTTCAACATTTCAGATCTTTTGGGACCAGAAGCTTTTTTGTTGTCGTAAAAGTCCAATCCCTTAACGGACTGATATTTGACGGTTGCTAACTTCTGGAGTACTTCAAATCTCACGGCTTGATTAGCGACAGGCAGCATGGTTTCCGGCACCCGCGATTCCCAGGAGACCTCTTGGCCTTACATCATGCAATTGAAGAGTTCTATGATGAAGCTCACGTCGTTGTTCTTGATATCACTAAAGCATTCAATCAGCTGTGGATGCTGCGCTCCTATGCAAACTTCCATCACAAGTCTTCCCAGAGAAGCTTTGCAGATGAGTCGCTGAATTTCTCTAAGGCCGCAAGATATCCGTCGTAATTGACAGGTTCTAATCTTCATCCCATAACGTCAACGCGGGTGTTCCGCAGGAACTGGTCTTGACTCCGACATTGTTGCTCTTACATACCAACGACCTTCTTTCCTGTACGATCAATCCAATCCACATCTTTGCAGGTGATAGCACCCTTCATGCAACAATTTAGAGCGACAAGCCGATCTTCGCCGGTGAGCTGGAGAAAACAGAGACTAGCAGCGACTTCCTCCCTGACAAAAAACCTGGAGGCTATCACTGCTTGGGAACGCAACAATCTTGTTTAAAGCCTCCAAAACGCAGTATTGTACCTTGACAAACAAGAAGCGTCCTAGCGCTCATCCGGTTTCGATGGATGGCCTACCAAACAGCAGTTCATTTCGGCTGGTTGGAATCCACATCACCGAGGACTTGATCTGGCACGAACACATCTCGTCAATAGCTATTTGTTTAGTGCTAAGAAGTAATTTTCTCCACATGATATTCTCACTCTGTTCAATTCCCAGATATGACCTAGCCTCGAGCATTGCTCACATGTTTGGGGTGTCGAACTTCGTACATCCAGAACTGGCCGATACAACCGCTCCGTTGTCACTGTGGTATCGAGATTGTGGAATAATCTACATGGGAAGGCTTTTCCCAGTTCTATTAACTTTAGGCAGTTCAAAAATGGGATTAACAAAGGTTCTTTAAGCTCCTCATAGCAGACGCGGTATCCTGGTATTTAGGCTTCTGTCTGCACGGCTGCTTCGGTGTAAACTACTTGGTGAACTTGGGTGCAAAGTTCGACTCTGTTTGGCGGGATTGATTGCTTAACCCTCAAGTCGTACTAGCTTTTGATATTGCGAACAGCTTCCATTTCCAATTTATCTCGTCAAATGGTATTTACTTACGGGGTTCAGTAAGTGTAAGTCATTTTGCAGCACAAAAATGGTCATGATTCAATATTACAACATTCTGAAAAAATAGAATAGGTAGTGGTTATTTCGGTACCCCTATAATCAGACTTAACGCATGTAATTTTCATGGTAGTCTTAATTGCATCGTTCAATAATTCAGAGTGAAATCAATAAATGTGTCTCTGCGGTTAAAGTATACAGAGTACTAATACCAGGGTCACAGCTTCTTCGTATTCGTACGTCCGTCCTCCGGTCGTGAGGAAATTGACAATTCTGGTCACAGAATTTAACAGTGAAAAAAAGCCCCTCAAGTCCTGGGAGGTATTCCAACCCCGCCAGTTTTACGCACTAATTAAGCATATTTCATACATCATAGATTCCCAGTATATTTGTTTAAAACTTAGAATTATAGAAAAATTCTTCAACATGCGCCTCAATGAACGTACACATTCTTTAAAAATATGTTCGATATACGCGTCCTAATCTTAAACGTTCTATTATTCCGGAGTAATCCGACACATCTTGGTCACGTGATCAAAATTTCGTCATCAGATAACCGAACGCGGTTTCTCTTTGGACTGGTTCACTTCACTTTCAAAATGAACGTAACCATTTTATTGTATGTATAATGATCCACGCATAGTGGCTGCAAGTGAAAGATTATTTCCGCGGGTGACCCTACTTTTCGTAGTATGTAAACTAAGCTGGCCACAGTACGCTCCCCATATTGATGGACATATGGACGGTCTGGCATTCTGGCATTGGGCAGGTCTTTTGTTAGTGTAAATACACGTTTATACGATGATAGCGCGACGCTGACCTATTTCCAAAACAATATTCCATCCCGAAATTGATAACCTTTTTTTTAACGCAAACACTTCATAGGCAGATATTTTTGATGGACGATTTTTCAAAACGACGATTAAATTGAAAGGCAGGATATTAAACAGGGGTTTCAAAAAAAGAGTTACCTTTCTAGATTCTCTGAAAAGTGTACTCAGGTTTAGAAAACTGTGAGGAATACGAGTAGGTGAAATTCGTTCCGTAAAATCAATCAATAGACCGTCATTCAAGTTAACGGATACATATTCTATAGACTAGTTCATCTAGATGTGCTTTCAAGTTGTTTCGTAGCACATCTTCAAGTAACAAAATGCAAATTTTTTAAACTGGACCATCGACTGGACGGAAATTTCATTGACTGATAAATCAGAGCAGCATCTGGCAACATAACGTCACACATCCTTCGGCCAAAAAATGCTAAAGGTTTGACCGTAGGCCGAAGGTTTTGCAGAAGGCCGAAGATTTAAAAAAATCTGTACTCACGAGTAGATTTGCGAAGGCATCGCATAATGAGAGGGTACAAATGCAGATGGCATACTTAAAAATTGACACTATCGCACTGAAAATGTTTCATTAAAAGCTCTGTGATGTGTGTTGTTGAAATTCCAATTTCAAATGAAGTTATTTTTTTTAGCTGTAATTATATTAACAAAGTAGTCGCATTTATTACAGAGCAGTATATTTATCCAGGGTGTCCATTTGAAAGCTTCCTACCACGGATTTATCGAAAACCACTGATTAAAAGAAAAAACGGCGAGACACGTCAGAAGATGTGTCACGGGGTCAACTTTTTAACCAAAAACTACTTCACCTCCTTTCACCCTCTGCCCCCCCAGGGTCATACCCTTAAACATTTTAAATGACAAGGGGTATAGAGTAATAGCTTGCTTGAAAGGTCTTTCGAAGTACTTTATTTAAACCTTTGATTTTTTTAAATCGGTCATCATTTTCAAGAAAATTAGAAAAATATCTATCTTACTTTGTTCAGATATAAAACAAAAACACACGAAAATATCACTTTTTATTTCAACAAGTGTTCAGTATGTTGCGCGTTATTGGCCAAACAATGATACAGGCGATGTTGAAATTCCTGACGGACATTTTCAAAAACATGTGGGGTATCATGGGAGATTTCGATGATGTGTTGACGAAGTTTATCCAAACTTTCAGGTTGGGGAGTAAACACAATAGATTTCAAATAGCCCCATAGAAAAAAGTCTAATGACGTCAAATCAGAAGATCTAGCAGGACATTCTATAGGCCCACTTCTCTCTATCCATTTATCTGAAAACTCGTTGTCTAGCCATTGCCGAACCGGATCAAATTTTTTTATTGATAAATGAAGGTTGGTTTATGCCATTTATGTATGAAAAATAACATCAGTCATGTGACCACCGTGGCTTTGTTTACAGGCCAACACCCGAACATCAAAATTTTCAATGACTTTTCCCAGAATAATCGGGTCTATGGCCGCAATTTCAGTCCGAACATTGCGCTTTAGGTCTTGAATTGTCCGGGGACCATTCGAATACACTTTTCCTTTCAAAAATCTCCAAAGAAAATAGTCAAGAGGTGTTAAATCGCACGATCTCGGGGGCCAACTGACATCTGAATTTCGTGAAAATGCGGTCTTGAAATTTCGTGTGCAATAAGGCGATTGTTTGGCGAGATGTGTGAGCCGTTGCTCCGTCTTGATGAAGCCAAAGATCGTCGGCACCAATACGATACAATTGTGGCCATAAAAAGTCTGTTAACATGCCGCGATAACGTTCCCCATTGACGGTAATGGTCTTTTCTTCGGCATCTTCAAAGAAGAATGGTCCAACGATGCCACCAGCCCATAATCCGCACCAAACAGTCACTTTTGCAGGATGTAGACGTTGTTCATGATATTGGTGTGGATTTTCAGCCCCCCAGAATCTGTAATTTTGCTTATTTACGTACCCATTGAGGTGAAAATAAGCCTCATCAGAAAAGAGCACTTTGGCCGAAAATCCGTCTTCTCTTTCCAGCATGCAATTAACAAAAACACGCCGCTGTTGATGGTCTGCCGGCTTCAATTCTTGTGTTAGTTGGATTTTGTATGGATGGAGGTGTAAATCAATGTGTAAAATCCGGCGTAAAGTGGTCTCACTAATTCCCAATTGCTGCGAACGGTGCCTAGTCGAGGTGGTTGGGTCTTCTTGCACACTTTCACTCACTGCGGCTATGTTTTCACGAGTACGAGCTGGACGAGCATGTTGGTATGGTCTATGACCTTCAGCTGAACCAGTTTCCTCAAAATGATTAACAATCCAACGAATTCCAGGCTCTGTAGGGAGTCCATGTCGGCCAAAACTAGTGCGAAGTTTGATAAAAGTATTTCTTATATTTCGACCGTTTTCGTAATA